AAAGATTATGCAATGTCCTTTCGAAGACGATCCTCAAATTTATAAGGGTTTCATGCGATATTTAAATAAACATCACAATTATACGTGAGAGAGTGCGGAAGACATTTCGATTCAACTATACAAAACTTTTATTTCTACTTTGTTTACGAATTTAAAACGCAAATTGTGTACCTAGTTATGTGCCAAAATAACCCCTTGTGTTAATTGGTCGTACCATTTAAAACTTCCATCTCTATTACGTTTTTTTTTTCCTGATAACTTAGCATTGTTCATTTAAACAAAAAAAGGAAAATAAACCTAGCATTATTCATTATTATGTTTACTTAAATTAACTTGTGGTTGGACATGAATCACGACAGAGCGTCACTCCCCCATTCTCATGATTTCTGCTTTCTACATCGTATTTTATTAAATAATTAGTTATTTTGGGAAAGATGGATCAATATGTATAAAATTCATGTGTGATAGACTTTATGATTATGATTTAGTGTGAACTATAATAAATGATTACCTTCTTACTTTCACTAGTTCGTTTGGTCATAAAGGGGTAAATGCAGAGAAAAAAACAGACAAATATATTTGCTAGTATGGAAAGTTTCAAAAACAAAGTTTAGCAAACAAAAAAAAGTTTGAGACAAAATAAAAATCAATGTTGAAGAATGAAAGATGTTGCTAGTATTTTAAAGTTGGCTTGGTCCTTCAGACAAATGTTTAATTTTACATCTCTAGTTTATTTGTACAATTAGGAGAGATGATTTACGTCCAAATAATATCTTCAAAGGGTAGTTTTGGATCGGGGAGACTATGATGGTAGGCCGGAAAATTTCTAATTGTAAAATAGGAATGAAAGATGCAAATTCCAAAATTTAGACTGTTCTTATGCAAGTGACATTTATCAGCTTTTTAATTTTTCGTGGCACAAATGCATATAACTAGACCTCACCACACAATGCTCTAAGTTGCCAACATGTTTCACGTTAAAAAAATATACGGCCCAAAATTGTAATGACGATCTTTTCATAATATTTTTTTGTTTTTTTTATTTGGCTTAACAGATAAATATATTTCCAAAATTTAACTGTAATTTTGATTTTGAAAATCTAGTTACAAATCATGGATTTTCCATTCCACTATCAATATTTCCCTCATACGTCACAATTTCTTTTAAAAAAATTCTAACTCATTGAGTAAATTGATTCTGCTAAGGGAATATTTACTTCTGAAAGTATGCATCAAATTAGCATTATTAAACTAAGGACTGAATTCTAGGATCAAACAAGTAAATACTTTATTTAGTGTGCATTAGACAAAGATTAAACCCAAAAAAAGGAGAGAGATTTTGAGCCATACATAGATTCTGAATTTTGATGTAAACCTTGATTTGTAAATCTTGTCCTTATAACTTGAGCGACTCTATAGTCTTTTTTCCATCATGGAGTCTTCCAAAAAACCCCTTCAAGTACTCCGAATACACAATCTTTCTATACCGAGCCATCTCATTTTTCTTTAGCACTTTTGGTAACGGCTCGATAACCGAATCATGAACCGGTCCGCAGAAAACCGGAATGGAAACCCGGCTACAAAGCTTATTAACCACCACACAATGCTCCACACTCCTATACCTATCATTGCTTAATATCTGTAATACATCTCCAATATTAACAACAAGCGCTCCCGGAATTGGAGGGACATGGATCCATTTGTCCCCGTCCTCGGTGGCTCGAGCGTAAAGGCTGCTTAAGATGTCGTCTTCTTGTAGGAGGAGAGTGAGAGTGTTGATGTCTGAGTGGCGACCAGTTCCTACGGCGAGGCTTGGCTCAGGACACTCCGGATAGTAGTTGAAGTTCATTCTCATAGTTCCCATTAGAATGTTTTCGTTAGACTCGTCAATGGTTAAGTTAAGATTGTTCATGAGTATGTTTAAAATCTTCTTGGCTATTGGTTTGATCATCTTGAAATGGTCTATCACTTGTTCCCTGTATATACAAAATAATGAAATCATCATATAATCTACATATTCTAAACAAATATATATAAACCAAAATGCTTGAACATATTCTAAATTATATATGATTTTTTTGTTAAAGAAACTGCTATATATGTTTTGACTTTCTTATTTTAAACAATAATAAAAGCGACAAGACCCACAAAAAAAAAAAAAAGCGACAAAACCAAAACTGTAAGCAAACGAACTGAATAAACAGAAACTTTTAAATAATGTATATCTCAATTTTATCTTATAAGTATATACTAAAAATAAGGTGATATTAGTTATCTTTTAAAGTTGTTTTATCTGAAACCGAAACCAGCTCAAACCATTAGATACATATGTTGTCGGTTTTCTTTGTTTTACTTTCCAAAACAATTG